CTTGCATAATGCAAATTCTTTTTAAAAGAAAATGTAGAATATTTGTAAAACTTTTCAGACACTAATCTATAAAGCAAATTTCAACAAATTTCAAAGACAGATTGAACTACAGAGAGATTGAACTAGAGATCAATAATAAAAGAAAAAGAAATCACTAAGTGTTAGGAAGTGAAACAATACATTTCAAAATAATCCATGGGTCAAAAAAGAAATCCTAATAAAATATTTAATCATTTTGAACAAAATCATCACAGAAATATGACATATCAAAACCTGCATATTGTAGATAAACCCATATTTAGGTTAAAAAATATATAGCATAAATACATATATTAAGAAAGAAAAAACTATAAAAATCAAATAGATAAATATCCCTGTAATATGTTTTATAAAGACAAGTTAAATCCAAAATGGTAGAATGGAGAAAATATAAAAGAAAAGAGCAGAAATTATTGAAACAGAAAAATAAACCTACAGCAGAGAAAAGTCTGTAAGACCAACAATTCTTTGAAAAGGCTAGTCCCCCTGATAAATACCTACAAACACTGATCAAGAATAATAATTTAAAAAAAAAAGATGAAAGAAAAAGCACAGTTATCAATATTAGGAATGAAAAAGGGAATGTCACTACAGATCTCAGAACTGTTAAAAAATAACATGAAGACATTATAAATAATGTCATTATGTTTGGAAATGTAATTGAACACACTCCTGGAAATATATAACCTATGTAAACTAGCACAAACAGAAAGTATCTGAATAAACCTGTTTGGATTTCAAAGTCAAATCTGTCATTAAACACACATTCACACACACAAACATTCTCCAGAGAAAATTCAGGCCCAATCAGCTTTACCACTAAAATCTTCAAATGCGTAAGGAAAAAAAACAACAATAATCTTAACACAAATTCTTTAGGACAACAGAGAATGAAGGAACTTGTTTTATGAAACCAACATAATTTTGATACTAAAATTTGTCAAGAAAGAAAAAGTATAGGTCCACCTTTCTCATGAACACAGATACTAAAATCCAAAACCAAATTAAAAGTCAAATCCAGTAATTCATAAAAAAAGAACAATTCGTCATGGCCCAGTTGAATGCAGAGATGATTTTACATTTGTAATCATCAATGTGATTGACCATACAGGCAATAAAAAAAGAAAAACACGATCATTTCAATAAATGCAAAATAGATATTTACTGTGACTCAATGTCCATCATATAGGAAAAAAGAAAAATTCTTAACAAACTAAAAATGGAAGTAAACTTACTTAATCTAATGAAGACTATCTACCAAAACCACCCAAAGAAAATATACAATTTAATGGTGAAATATTGAGAACGTTCCCTGTGTGACTGGAAGGATACCTGTTATCACCACTTCATTCAGGATTATGTTTAATATTCTAGCCAGTGTAGTAATTCAGAGGAAAAATTATTTAATATTAAAAAGTTATATATATATATATATATATATTTCTAGATGATAATCTACAAAAATATCTTCATGGTCTTAGAGTAGACAAAATCAGAAGGGATTATAAAAATATCTAACCATAAAGGAAAAGATTGATGAATTAGACTCCATCAAAGTTTTGAATGATCATTAATCAGAAGGATCTATCAATGAGCAAGAATAAAAGCCCAGACTGAAGAAAGACATTTGCAATATCCAACAAAGGATCCATATCTAGAGTTTAAAAGAACTATAAAACATAAAGACCAAAAATAGGTAGATATTTGAGCAAACATTTCACATAGAGAACAGATATCTAAATCACAAATTAGAAAATTAGATGACTCTCATAATTCACCAGGGACATGAAAATTAAAATCTTATTAAGATGAATCCAACAAAATTGCTAAAATTCCACAAGATGGCAATACCTGCATTAGCAAGGACTAGATCATTGAGAACTCTCCTGTTGCTTGGTGGAGTGTGAATTGGCACAATCACTTTGGAAAATAGCATGGCCACATTTTCTAACCTGGATACTGTCTAGGCATGCCTGATGAGCTGGTAATTCCACTCCCAGGTATTTATCCCATAGAAATCCATGCATATGTACTGAGATCTATAGAAGAATATTCACAACTGTTCTATTTGTTTTAGCTCCAAATGCAGGCAGAGACTCTGTTCCCCTTGAGGGTCCCCTACTGAACTGAGATGGATTCGTCTCTGTTTACCCTGTATGTTTTCCTCAGGGCACAGTAGTTCTAAATGTGATATCATATGCCAAAGGCAATGTGCATTAGTAGATACAAAGTTAAATGTCCCTTTAGGAGGACCAAGGTGTGAGTCCAGAGAGAAAAGGTGGGAAAAAAAGTATTTCAAAGAGATAAACTGACATTCCTTATGGCAGCTAATGTCTTAGGGGCCTTGGTTGACCTGTGCACCAGCACAGAAACCTGACTTTTAAAAAATTATATAAGCAATTCATACACATGATGCATGTAAAACAGGATAGAAACACACAATGAAGTGGCTCTTTCCCACCAATAATACATCAAATATAACCATTTATTAGTGCTTTCCATGAAAAGGTATATTTATACTTATAAAAATACATTTATACACATGTATTCAATTTTTTCCATCTATAACAAAGAAATAATACTGCAAATGCCAATCAGCACCTCATGTTTTGTCCTCTCCCATTAATCAGAGTGGTCTAATCTTAGCATGTGTAGGTTTGCCTCATTTGGGGGAGAGGTGTTAACCAGGGACTGAACTCAGGACACTTAACCACTGAGCCACATCCCTGCCCTATTTTGTATTTTTTTTAATTTTAAATTACATGTTTATTTCCAAATTTTCACAGATTAATAGATTGCATTTTCTTAGAAGACAATTTACAGGAGTTTGCAGCACTGATTTCTTATTAAAAAAAAAAAGAGAGAGAGAGAGTAATGATTAGGATTTGATGATTAGGATTTGTAGATATGAATGACCATGAAAAGACGTCTTCCTGGAAACCAAACATACACAGATATTCCCACCAATCCAGCAACAGTGTCTTGATGATGAGCTGAATAAAGACATAACATCTTAGGTCACACCCAGATGCAGGATAAGGCTCAAAGGTGCAGGCAGCAAAATATTCTCAGAAAGGCAAGATGCAGGCATCACGGACTGCTGTCCCTCACAGATGCCCATTGTGCATTGCTGGCTCCTCATAGGAGTGCACAGCAACATGAAGCCAGCAGCTCACTCTGGGAGGAAGGGCCTCTCCTTTCTGAGTGACTCAATCAATGCATTACATAAAAGACAAGGTTCGAAAGAAACATTTGCTCCAAGGCACTGAAGGTGTAAAGTTTTTTTTTAGAAAATACATAAAAATGAACAGACTAAAAAAAGAAGTTAATTATCAATGGAAGAATCTATCATTACTGCGACTAATGAAATAATTACCTCAGATAGATTATAATCGAAATGCACATTGAACAGACTGCACAGAGAGGGATTGCCTGACCAAAGCGCATCCCCATGGCTCTCGAGACTGGTTAGAGCACACTCACGAAACTTCTTCCTGAAGCCAGAGAAGCTGTGCATCGTTTGTATTTGTAATATCCTTCTCCAGTCTTCTTGCTCAGCTTCTTCTCTGCTACCAGCTTATTTGGTGATGTGCTGGGCTGAAACAGTGGGTTCTTGGCATCCATTTCATGCCACCCATCCAGAATGAACTTTGTAGTATCCAGTCCAACATAATCAAGAAGCTCAAATGGACCCATAGGGTATCCAGCTCCCAACTTCAAATTGCAGTGTCAATGTCTTCCTTGGATGCATCTCCTCCTTCATGCATCCTGATCGCTTTTACAAGGTATGGCACCAGGAGATGGTGCACAATAAACCCAGGAGTGTCCTTGCAAGAAACTGGATGTTTTCCCAAGGCTTTGCTAAAGTCCACCAGAGATTCAAATGTCTTCTGGCTTGTCATTGGTGTTTTAATGACCTCTACGAGTTTCATCAGGGGCACTGGGTTGAAGAAATGAAGGCCGGCAAATCGGTCTTGTCTGGTGGTGGCATTGGCTATGCTTGTGATCTGCAAAGAGGAAGTGTTGCTGGCAAAAATTGTATGTTCAGCAGCAAACTTGTCCAGCCTTTGGAAGAGCTTGTTCTTCACCTTCAGATTCTCCACGATGGCCTCCACCACCAGGTCTGTGCTGTGGACGACAGATGCTGCATCTGTGCAGGTTAATATGCTGCTCAGGGTCTTCTCCACAAACTCATCACCAGCCTTAGGATTTTCTGCAAACTTCTTCTTTGACATTTTCCTAAGGTTTTCCTCAATACTGTTTTTGGATTTTGCCAGGATGTCCTCAGTTTGGTCCACCAACACTACTGTGTGGCCACTTGCTGCAGCAACCTGGGCTATGCGGCACCCATCAGCCCGCCCGCGGATGACCGTCAGGTGCTTGACGATAATTTTCTTCCTCGAGGCCGAAGGACAAGGAAGACAAGGAGCACAGGAACTGCCTGGTTACGAAAGCCATGATGCAGGGACGGCTCTATTTTGTATTTTACTTAGAGACAGGATCTCACTGAGTTGCTTAGCTTCTCACTTTTGCTGAGGCTGGCTTTGAACTTGAGATCCTCCTGCCTCAGCCTCCCAAGCTGCTGGGATTATAGAGGTGAGCCACCACACCGGCTAGGTTTGCCTCATTCTTAATAGTTTGTCATTGTATAGATGGATTGGAATATTCTTAAACAACCCCATGCTTCCAGTGTGCAGATAATAATGAATGATGTTACAATAAACATTTTTTATAGAGCTATCTTCACATACTTTCCTTAAGGTAATTTCCCAACAAGAGAAATATGGGGTCAATGGCATGTGGTTTTTTTAAGAACCCTAATCTTTATTTTCTCAATTTGATCAGAGGACAGGAAATCCTGATTGGTAGTTAACCATGGGTACTCCCACTTCCTTGTTTCTAATTTACTAATGCATTTTGCTCTTTTCAAAAAAGCATTTTCTCAGATGTGCTACTTGAGGTTGATGTGAACAGTGTACTGACTGTAAGATCAAGACCAAACCTGCTATTTATGAGAAAACTTGTCTTTGGGTCTCAGGTCTTGGTGGTTCCGGTCTTCATGCTGCTGTGGGTGACTCTACTGGTTCTGGGTGAGTAGATGACTCAACATGAGCCTGGGTTGGGGTCTGGGAAGCTCCTCTCTCCACCTGGCCCTGGCCCTTTCTTGGGGCCCAGCACCTGCTCAGTCTTTCCCACATAAAGATACTGTATTTTAATGTTTTACTGTACAGCTCAGGGTTTCCTCTAGTGAATTCAAAGAAAGTGGTCACGGATGGAAAAAAAATTCCTTCAATCTTACAGAGAAGGAACCCATAGCGTTCTATTAAGGTTTCACTTACATTTCTCTTAAACAGACACTTCATGAAGCCTTAGAAAGATATGTTGTGTCTGCTTGTTCTTAGTGTTTGATTCTGGGAACAGTCTACCCTCTTTCTGCAAAGGAGATGCATTTGTTCCTTGTATGACAAGGTCAGATCGTGGTGCTGGGCATGAGAGGGCAAGTCACAGCAGTGATTGACAGATTAAGAACACAATAGGGAAGGGGTAGACACAGAGGGAGGAGTGGGCAAGGCAAAACTTCAGGCACATGACATTCTCATTGTGCGTGTGCATAAGTCTCTGTGCAGTCATAGCTACGAAGTGGGTAGTTTCGTTTTTTTTTTTTTTTGCCAAGGTTTAAAGGTTAGAATTAAATGTTTATTAATTTGTTTGTCAAAACAAAATTTCAGTTATTGTCTATGGATAGCACTATCCCAGGTACTGGGGAATGATGAGAGGACGTGGGAGGTACCATTTCTGAGTGACCAGTGTGCAAGAAATAGCTATGGAACGGGATCCAGTGAAATCATTATGGAGATAAAGTTTCCAACTGATGGTGCAGGCAGATAATGAATGACACAACAAATGCTGATAACGACTTCATGAGACTCAGAGGGAAAGCAGGACGAGGAGGGGGAGGCAGGAGGGACAGAGTGGATATGATGGAGGAAAAGAGGACCCTACAGCTAGAAGGTGCAAGAGATGCTGGAATGTTCCAGAGACAGAAGCACTTCCTCGTGTGGCACCACACAGAGGGATAGAACAGGAGAATGGCCAGGGGCATGCACTTTGGGTTCAAAACGCCATACTGTCGCCTATTAGCCGCTAAGCTTTCTGGCCTGTAAAATGGTTATAATCTTGAATAATCAAGAGAAGCGTCCCTCACTGGATAAGCAATCTGGAGAACATTAAACATCAGCACTCTCGCCCTGCCTTCTAAGATGCTGCACAACTTGTCCCATCAAAGGATACCCTCTGTCAGAGTGCTCCATCTAAGTGTCCAATTCTAACCTTGTCACAATCCTCCTTGAAAACTTTCCATGGCTCCCCGTGGCTTCTATCATAAAAATGGACCTGCCTTCTCAGGCCCTGCATTCCTTTTTAACCTTATTTTCCCTGTGGTGCCTTCCAGACACCACCCCTCCCCCTGGCCCCCCTTTCCCTACCCCGTAACTCCTGGACCAGTGTCACTCTTCACTCCTGTGCCCTTCCTGTTTTGATTACTCTTCCCACCATCTGTTGCCACACACAAACACTAACCCTCCCCTGGCTGATCCCTACGTTCTCATTCATAGTTTTCTCCTCCTCCAGGCGCTTCCATGATCCACTCACCCTCTTCAACACACACACACACTCTCCGCACCGGGCTGGGTAGCCTTCCATCCTCCAATACCTCCCGGGTAATTCTGTTGTTGTACTTAGACCCTGGGTTATATCACCGGGCATCACGATTCTGTTTCTCCCACTGCTCAACGTTTTGCTAGCAGATACCATTTTTATTTGCTCTTATTAGTTATGCATGACAGTAGAATGTTATTTTGACATATTATGCATATATGGAGTATAACTTCTCATTCTTCTGGTTGTGCATGACTTAGAATTACATCGGTTGTGAAATCATATACGCACATAGGAAAGTGATACCCGATTGTTTCATTGTCCTGTCTTTCCTATTCCGACCCTCTCCCTTCCCTTCATTCCCCCTTGTCTAGTCCAAAGTATTTTTATTCTTCCCTACTCTCCTCCCTTCATGTGCACCCTCATATCAGAGGGAACATCTGGACTTTGGTTTGGGGGGATTGGCTTATGTCACTAGCGTGATAGTCTCAGATACCATTTTTAAATTTATGGTTAGAAGTCTAAGCACTATGTTGTATATGAAGACATTTGAAAAATAACAATATTTTAGACATAATTTTCTTTTAATGGAAGAAATAATAAATGGATTGGGGAAAGGTATTATCCTTGAAAAACTGAAGAATCCATGCTCTGTGCTCATCTCTGACTCTTTATTTTTATTATTTATTTACTTACTTACTTACTTATGTGTTTATGTGTTTATTCATTTATTGCAGCTCCTGTCAGTGAACAACTTGGTGAGTTCTCTCTTTTGCTCCTCAGTGTGTCTGGATAAGAGTGTCTCTCTAACATAAAACATTTGCCTAAAAACCCCTCCTATTTTCCATTTCTTTGCCAAGGCCGGCAAAGATGTGAAAAATGACACCTGGTCTCTTGGCATTGCTCAAGGGTTAGCATATCTTCATGGTCACCCTCTGCCCCTCCCTGGGTGAAGTGTTAGATCCACAGCCACTGACCTCGGCTGGGCCCTGAATTTATTCCTACTAGAACTGGACCCCACTTATCCATGAGGCACTCCTTCAACTCCATGGTCAACGTGCAGGGCTGGGGATAGGATCTTCTCTAATCAGCAAGCCAGGAGAAATCCTCTGAAAACATCCCACTGTGAGATGCCAGCAGGAATACCCTAACCTTCACAGCTCTGGAAGTCAGTCCTCCAGGAAATGTGTGGGGACCAGGCCAGGCCTGAAGACGGACTGCCTGTATCAACATTTACTTTAGTTGTGACTCATATCACTCTTCGGGCCAGAGGGTGTCTTGGATATTTGAGAATCCATGAATAGCAAGAACTCCCTACATTTCCTCTCCTCATCCCAAATCAGCTGCTTCAACTGTACCCTAGGTCATCTCTGGATTCCAATAGATAATTTATCCATTTCTTGTCCTTCCATAATTAGCTATGCTGGGGGTTTTCTGGACATTTGAGTTATCATTTATAAAATGAAGCTGTTAGGCAACTTGATCTCTTAAGCTTTTCTCGGTAGCAAAAATCCCTCGATAGAATTATCTATTCTTTTAAGGAAAAGTGCAAAATTGTGATTTTAACAATGCCTGTGTAAGCTCTGTCTGTAATCAGATAGGGAACGGGAATTAGCTGAGTTTTGAATTTAAGATTAAGACAAATGAAATTATCTACATAAAACTCATTCAGCCCATCGGGCAGTGACTCCAAGTAGCATATCCAGAGGATGTAATTGTCACATAACAGCTAAAGGCTACAGATGACACAAACACTACAATTTCTTCAGAGTGAATTAATGTCTCTAAACCTGGGGGGTGTGTGTGTGTGTGTGTGTGTGATGACAGGGGTGAGGGTCATTTTCCCATGACCCACTTCCACCACAGGTAACTAACCACAGACATCGCAGTGAATCCTCTTGAATTCACATTGTTCCTTGCTACTCTCTCTTCCCCTGGGGAGGTGAGTGAGGCGGGTTGACATGCACCTTTGAATGATCAGTGACCCTCTCAGGGAGCCTCTTGGGTGCTGTCCAAAGCTAGGTCCTCCTGTCTATCCCACAAGAACCTCTGCTGCTGGGACTGTGGGCACTGCCACCTCAGACTCATTTTCTCTCTCCTCCTCCTCAGTAACTCCATCCAAATCCATAATTTCCCTTCAATTTCCATGGACCGTTTTCTTCCAAGGAGAGAGCATGGATCTGACCTGCAAACGATCTAGTTCCCACTCCCTATGGACAACAAAATGGTACTTTGAGGGAAAAGTATTAAAAAAAACCCCAAAAAGCACCCTAAGGGTTCGTGAATCTGGAGACTACAAATGCCAGGCTGATGGCTTGCCTGTAAGCGACCCTGTGCACTTGGAATTCTCTACAGGTGAGACAGAAGTAAAAGAAATAAAAACCTTAGAAATTATTTCAGACCATTTTCTCTCAGGCTGCTGACACCATTCACTTGGGTCGACTCTTGAATGGACATTTTTGTTCCACATTATAGTTAAACAAGGAGGGCATTCACAGGCTCTGTGTGTAACCAGACAGGGAACAGAATTAGCTTCTTAAGTTTGAACATAAAAATTAAGAAAATTGATACTATCCAGATAAAATTCATGTAGCCCAATGGGCCGAGACTACGAGTAGTGTATCCAGAAGGATATCATTGCCACATAAGAGCTAAAGGTTATGGATGACCCAAACACTACCATTTCTTCAGAGTGAATTAAGGTCTTCGCACCCAGGCAGGATGTGATGTGGAAAGGGGGTGTTGTAGTTTCATGGTTTTGTGGGGGGGGGGTTGTTTGTTTGGGGTATGAGGGAATGGAATCCAGGGCCCTCTACTATTGAGCCACATCCGCATACCTTTTTTTATTTTTTATTTTGAGACAGTGTCTTGCTGAATCGCTCAGGCTGGCCTTGAACTTGCATTCCCCCTGCCTTGGTCTCTTGATTCACTGAGATTACAGACATACACCACCATGCCCAGCTAACCCTGTGGTTTTCAAAATTTGACCTCAGTCAGAAAGCCTGGGAAGGTTTTGGGTTTGGGGTTTTTTGGGGGTTTTTTTGCTTTGTTTTCGAAGGGACTTGGTACTGAGAATTGAATTCAGGGGCACTAGACCACTGAGCCACATCCTCAGCTCTATTTTGTATTTTATTTAGAGACAGTGTCTCACTGAGTTGCTTAGCACCTCACCATTGCCAGGACTGGCTTTGAACTCTCAGTCCTCCTGCCTCAGCCTCCAGAGCCACTGGGATTACAGGCATGCACCACCATGCTGGGGTCTGGGAAGGTTTTTAATCATACTCAGGCCCTACCTTATATTTACTGAATCAATATGTATAGACTTGCAGGGCACAGGGGCCCATGCCTGCAATCACAGCTACTTGGAAGAATGAGGCAGGAAGATCATAAATTCAAGGCCAGTCTGGGAAACTTAGCAAGATCCTGTCTCAAAATAAAATTTAAAAGTGCTGAGGATGTTGCTCAGTGGTAGAGTGCTTATCTAGAATGTACAGGGGTCTGGGTTTATTCCTCAGTATTTCAAAAGAAATAACTCATGGGAGTGCAATTCAAGAATTATTATGTTTTATAAGCTGCTCAGGTGAAAGGAAATTTGGGTTGAAATTCATTTGAACAGTTCCTATACATTAAGGTGTGTAGTTTTAAGCCATATTACTTACTTGAAATAATAAGTGGCATAATGATTTGTCACATTTATAGCTATCGATGAAGAATTTCCTGTTTGTCCTAAAACCACCTGTTATAAAGTTGAAGTCATATCATCCCAGTTACAATGCCCTTTAATTTAGTGAAAAAGGAAACAGTGTAGTAACATAATAATTTCCCTCTTAAACATTTACCTATTAAAGGGATCATAAATATCCCCCAAAATGAAAGACCCTAAATGATCAAGAGAAGAAGATTCATTAAATGAATTACAATGCTGCCCCTAAAAGAAAACTGTCCCCCATTGAAAATCAAGCTCAGTAATGATATTACTGAGGGAAAATATTCTGACATAGTAAATAAAGGGCAATTTATCAAATATGTAAATATTATTCCAATTCAATAAAGGAGAAAAAAATACACAGAGACCCTCACATATTTGAACATGGAAGAAAAACAATTGGAAGCATCTCCGGGCAGTGAGATGGTAGATACTTTTTACTTACATTTCTACTTTCCAGCTTTTCTCAATTGCATATGTTCATTTTAAAATCCAGGGGGGAAATGATAAGTATTTTAAGAATCCTTGGAATAATAATAAAAAGAAAGAGGAAACAGTGGGATGAACCAAATAACTGGTCTTATTTTTCCTACAGCTCCACTGATCCTACAGGGTCCACCTTATGTGTTCGAAGGAGACTCCATGCTTCTAAGGTGTCGGACAAAAGCAAAAACTGAACTGAATACTGTAGTATTTTTTAAGAATGGTGAACGCCTGATGTTACCTAATAATAGTTCTGATCTGCACATTGATGATGCCGATCTGGTGCACAATGGTCACTATCACTGTGGTGGCTATATTCACACGTGCTGTGCAGCTTCTTCCAATAGAGTCAGCATCCAAATCCGAGGTAAGGCTTTCATTGTTTTGTAAGTGGGTTGGTGAGAAGGAGGGCGCCTGAGGTTGCAGAGGTAGACTAGGAAGAAGAGGGTGGGCTGGGGTGCCCTTGAGAGAAAGTGCAACTGTGCTCTTTGTGCTGATGGACAGCAGAACTCAGAAGTGGTGGTGCCACAGAGATACTTTTCCCTCCAGTGCCTTTCCAAGCCTCACTCTTCTGGGGACTGCTGTGATCTTTCTTTCTAGTGCTGTTTCCACGTCCCGTGCTGAGAAGCAGCTCCTCTAAGCCCACGGAGGGAAGTCCAGTGACGCTGACCTGTCAGACTCAGCTCCCTCCAGAGAGGTCAGATGTCCAGCTCCAGTTCTGCTTCTTCAGAGACAGTCAGGCTCTGGGGTCAGGCTGGAGAAGCTCCCCAAAGCTCCGGATTCCCGCCCTGGGGACAGAGGACTCAGGGTCCTACTGGTGCCAGGCAAAGAGAGTGAATTCCCACCTTCTGAAAGAGAGTTGGAAGATCTCCATCACTGTGTGGGGTGAGTCTCAGTGGGTCCTGGGATGGACAGGGGACGGGACTGGAAGAGTTGTGTGCAATCGCACATCAGTTTGGTTCGTGTGGAATGTGCTTCTTCCACGTGTGAGAATGGGAGCTGTGTGACAGAAGAGGCCTCAACTCTTGTGGACATCTTAGAAGAGTTTAGAGAAAAAAAAAGCTCAGGAAAAGAGAGACAGGGCTCATTTTTCTTTCGCTGCCTTTAGATACAACTCTTCTTTGAAAGCTCTCTTCCCTGATGCCCTGTATTTCCTGCTAGGTCTATAGTCATAAGCGATGGCTGGGCTGACTAGACTCTGCTCAGCCAAATGGACAGACTTGGAACACTAGGTGCCTGGAGGCAGAGTGCTGCAGGACAGGGAAATCCAAGGACAAAAGGTTGGGGAATAAAAGGTTCCAATTTGATGTCTCTAAGAATGGTGGTGTGCCCATTTTCATTTTTTCCCAAGTTTCTAAAATTGTAGACATTTTCAAGCATGACTCTCATCCAATGGCCAAATGGTTCCCTTTATGAAATTTGGTCTGTCTCATGGAAAATATATTTAAGCATTAGGAAGGGACACATGGTCTGTGGTGCCCAATTTCCTGAGTGAGCCGGGAACGAAAGTGATAGCATTTCCCATAAATTCACCCCTTTTCCTAAGAAAAACAAAAGTCCAATGACACTTTCTTCTAAACTGACTAAATCCTATTAATCTTGCAGTTCCAGGAAGCAGAATTTTCTAGGGTCACTAGTTTAAGGAGAAACAGTCCAGCGAAGGTGGAGAGGGGATTTATTGTCCAATAGTTAAAACGCAATAATTCCTGACAAAGTTTTCCCCCAACCTCAGGTTCTTCTCCCCCTCGGTTTAATGATCTTCCTTTGTTCTTAAAGACCTGAGGATAACTCAAAAAGCACTGCCCTCAGCCAACATCACTACCAAAAGCCCATCACAGATGAGCCTACATGACGGGACTGTCCTGGCCCCCAATCCTTTGACCTCATGTGTCACATGCTAGACAGGTTAAGAAGGGTGTGCTCAAGGGCAAGCCTTCTAAACATGTCAATAGTGTTCCTTTCCAATTAGCTGTGGCTGTCACTGAATCCCCAGGACAATCTCCTTTGATGCCAAGTCTCCCTGCCCCCTGCACACCCTGGTCATTTTACTCAGCTGTTTGGGCAGCAGATATCACCTCTGGGATGACTGACCATGTTCTATCAAGGTGTGGGTGGACATGAGAGCAGGATAGACGGGGCTAACTCTATTCCTAGGCTGGACTCTCCACAAGAACATTAGGAAGTAGAGGACCTCCCTAGCCAAGCAGGGACCACAGCCTCTCCAACCGTCTCCCTGTTCCCAAGGACAAGGTAACTCCACTTCAGGCTAACCTCATATAGGGAATCAGCAGATTCTGCCATTTCCAGCCTGTGACTCTCCTTTGTCCACGAGCACCCCACTGCTACGAGGCTCACGAATCTATATATTTTTAATTTACTTAGGAGTTACTGTCAAGGTCCAAATACGCACTGTCCCAGCCTTAGGACCAGTGTTTGAAGGGCAGAAGCTGACGCTCATCTGCTCAGTAGACAGGCTCCCGGGGCCCATCACGTTCTCTTGGTATAAAGTCAGTCTGGGGAAGGAAACAAAGATTCACACATCCTCAGAAGCAGAATTCAAGATCTCCATGGTGAAAGGCAGTGACGCTGGGGACTATTACTGTAAAGTCAACAGTAGTCACAAAAGTTTTACCAGCAGGCTGGTAACCATCAAGCCACGGGAAGGCGAGTGCTGCTGAGTGTCATCCAAGGAATGGATTACCAAACTGCACACAGGGGTCCTCTGTGCAGACCACAGGCAGCCGGGTGGGAGTGGACATTGACATCCAATGCTCTGAGAAACCTTCCAGGAGTTAGTCAGAGTCTAGCAGGAAAGAGCTAAGGACAGAAAGGGCTGCAGGCCGTGGGAAGTTTTGGAAACTCTCAGACATAGAGAATAAAGAAAACGTTCAGTGGTGAGGAATATGTCTGCACCCTTCATATTTACCAATCCCTTTGCAGTTTAAGCAACATTCAGTGCCTCTTAAGAATGAAAAGCAGAACAATTAGGATGTTAGAGTCAGGACTGATCTAGGGCCATGTCTCTTGACAAGGCCCTTGACTTAAGGATCTTCAGGGACCCTCCCTGCACACATGTAAATAGAGATGGTCAGAGAATGGCCACAGGCAAAGCCCTGAGACCAACCCTAATGAAGTGCCCCCAAGGACATCATCTCCTCTGCAAAAGGGGGACAGGTCACCTGACGAGGGTGGCAGGAGGGAAGAGGCAGGAGTCTGATGGAGAAGGAATAGACTGGAGCAGACCAGATGTGCCGCAGTCTGGCTGGGCACAATTCAGGAGCCACTTGTCAAAAGAAACTAACTTTATTTTTAGAACCACACACGCCAAACAAAACAGCTCCTCAGAGCCCAACTGCCACCACTGGCTTCCCACAAGCCTCTCCCACCCCTACTCCTCCTGCTCTTGAGGCCGATTGGCTGGGTCGTATGGGCGGAGCCAAAAAAAGTCCCCCAATGAGCAGCTCCGTAGTCTGAAAGGGCGGGGAAATAGCCCAATGAGCATCACGGCAGAGGAGCCAATCAGCTAGATGTTGCTGGGGCTGCTGTGAGCCAATCATCAGCTGGCAGTCTGAAAGTTTGCTGGGGACCCTTGGGCTGTGGCTCTCAACACAGATGGAGGATGGGGAGGGATGGGGAGAGAAGCCCGGGAGGTTGCTGGACCACCCTGAGGGCCAGGAGAGAATAGAGTCTGGCCATTTGCTCTGGCCACAGATGGGAATTACAGGGAAGAGGCAGAAGTAACGGTTGACCCATTTTCTCTCCCTCAGCTGCTGTGTCTCAGCCTGTCCTCACCCTCAACCCTGCTAAGAACTGGCTCCTTGAAGGAACCTGGTTGACACTTCACTGTGAAGTCCAGAGAGGTTCTCCCCCGATCCTGTACAAGTTTTATCATGATTCTGTCTCCCTGGGGAGCAGCTCAACCCCCTCTACAGGAAGAGCATCCTTGGGCATCTCTCTGACCGCACAACATTCTGGGTTCTACTACTGCACTGCTGATAATGGATTCAGCCCCCAGCGCAGTGAGGCTGTGAGGCTCTCCGTCTTGGGTAAGCCCTGAGTTCCTGCTAAGCCCATCCCCGGTCAGATCCCTCTCTCTCAGGCCCCTTCACAAGTCTGCGGGAACCTTCCTGCTTCCTATCACAATCAGCCTAACACCCTTCTCGACTCTCAGCAAACCTAGGCCTCAGAGCTTATCCATCCCTGGCTCAACCTGACCCCATGACAGCTCAGAGACTCCCCCAGCTTTTACCCAACACATTTCTTTTCACAAATCATCACTTCGTGCCCTCCGTCTTCTGAGCCAATTTTTCTTCACTTGACGCACAGATGCGTCACCTGTTTCTCCCTAACACACGTAGTTCAGCTGCAAGCACCGCCATGCGGGCAAATATTGGGCAACACCATAATTTCTCCAAAGAAGTCTCAAGCAGTTACAGCTCTCACAGTAGGTCTGCAGAGGACTGGGTGTGAAAGGAAAGAATATGACGATTCCAAAACCAGAGCCCCCAGCCTTAATGCATCCACTAACCCATTATAATGTTTTATTATGTCCTCACACTTAGCAATATCTAAAACCTCTTGACTTCCTGTTCCTTGTCTGTCACCCTCAATGTCAATGGGATATAAGCTCTAAGAGTACAGGACCTCATGGTATAGGTCTTCCCTACCTCCCTGAGCCTAACAGTGTGTGACACTGGGCATTTGGAACTCTTCTATTCTTGTGCAAGAATAGAATAATGTTTATCAGAGGCTGGGAAGTGGTCGGGGGAGAAGATGGTTAATAGGGGTGCACTTGGAAAGGGGGGATATTTCTAATGTTCTATGGCACATTGGGAGGGTACCTATGATTGACAACAACTAATTGTCTACTTCAAAATAATTAGCAGAGAAGATTTTGATGTTCCCAACACAAAGAAATAATGAATGTTTGAGGTAATGGATTAACTAATTATCCTGACCCTATACATGTATCAAAATAGCACACTATGCCCCAAATATAGATATGATTACTATGTCAATTAAAATTTTAAAAATTATAAGGAGAAAAGAAGATGACATAGTACTTTTATGAAGAAGAATTGCTACAGAAAACAGGAAAAAAAACCTCTCAAATTCTTCTAGATAGTCTCAATACAATTAGAGAAAATATGGACTCAAAAAAAGTTCAAAAAATAAATTAAAGAGGTCAAAGAAGAGATGATAAGACGATAAAACAATAAGAAGAGATAAGAAAACCATTCAGCAGAACTCGGGAGAAACAAAGAAAATTACAAAGATGTTTTAGAAATAAAATCCAAATGTAAGGCAATAAGAATAGAAGAGATACCCCTAAAAATGTTAATTGAATGAAGAATCATTATGAGAAAACAATACAGAATGCAAAACAGAAAAAGAGGCAAAAATATAATATGGAAATCAGAGAATAGATACCCCATGTTTGGATAATTAAATGCTTCTAGTGGAAAAACATTTTAAAAACATTTTTAAAAATAAATAACAGATTTCAAAAACAGATTAGAAAACCAAACTGAAGAGAAAAACAAAACTCAAAGATGTAATTTGAAAATTTCCTAAAATGAAGAAAACATTAGCATGTACATAAGATTATCTCAATTAAGTTTTTGAACTTCAGAATTAAAGTGTGTGTGTGCGCGCACACGCGTGTGTGTGAAAGAAAGAGAGAGAAGAGAAGCAGAGGGGAAAGGAAGTGGGGTGGAGCGAAAGAGAGGGTTTTTGGAAAAAATGAGCAGTCATCTCAGAAAGAAAAATATCCAGTTGGTCCTTGACTTTGCACAATAGTCGACGCCGAAGAGAGAAGTGTGGTGTCCAGACTTGGACCTTGAGGAGAGGCATGAGAGCGGAGAATTTTATATCAAACTGAAAAGTTACTGTCAAAAATGCAGAAACTCAGGGAATTTAGGGCCCTTTAACCATTCTTGAAAAAAAAATTACTTCCTGAGAAAATCCAGCCCCTCAAGATGTGAATCAACATAAAGGACATATAATGAGGGAAACGTGATATGAAAATACAGACTGAACCTAGTAGATCAGAGTTTCCCAACCCTGGCTGCACATGAGAATCACCTGGGAACTTGGCAAAAATACCTGTCATTAAGCTCCTCTCCAAAGAAATTAAATTCAGAATTTCTCAAGTAAGACTTGAGAAACATTATTTTTTAACACATATTCAGGTGAGAATATTGTACCAAGAAGGTTGAAAACCACATATTTCGATTGTGAAAACTATGGTTATGAATAGAAAACCACGGTTGGGGCTGTAACTTGGTGGTAGAGCGCTCACCTAGCACGTGTGAGGCACTGGGCAAAACTCAGCACCACATGAAAATAAATAAATAAGATAAAGGTATTGTGTTCATCTACAACTAAAAAATCTATTAAAAGAAAGAATAGAAAACCATTACAAACACTGAGAATTTAAAAAATATATGTGTAATGAAGAAAAATCATCTGGTCAGAAGCAGGAGAAGAAGTAAAATAACAATTATTTTCTTGTGATCACTATTATTTCATAATGGGCAACAAAAAAGAATTGACTTGAAAATTTTTTAAAAATTAATGTTGCTTCCAAACAAATAATCATCTAAGGCGACGAACACACCAATTGCCCTGATCTGATCATTACACATTGTATACAATATCAAAATGTCACACTGTACCCATAAATACGCACAATTACTGTATGTCAGTTAAAATGGAAAACGTTTTATAAAATTAATAACAAATTTCAAAATTTCAATTTTATAAATTCATTTCTGAGTATTTTTAGAAATTCATTAATGGGTTAGTAAAGTTACATGGAAAACTAACTAGCAGCCTGTAGAGTCACACAGGAGAGAATGAGTGAATTATTCAAGTGGAGTGACTAGAAAAAGAGAATAAATAATAAACATAAACCTAACTGAAAAAGGTATGAGGAAACAGATACTTATTTGCCCCTAGTGCAGGTGTTAATTGGTCCCCAACGTTTTAAAGAATAATTTATCATTATTTAAACTGTTCATATACCTCCTCCAAGAAATTCTACTTCTAAGAATTTATCCTAATGCATGCACAAATATATAATGATATATCTACAGGATCACTTAATGCAGTACTACACAAACATTTTAAAATTATGACCTAAACATTCATTCAGAAAGAATTGCTTAAGTATATTATAGTAAATCAACACAATGGAATATTCCGAGGTTTGTAAAGTAGGTAATATCTGTACAAAATTTTACATACATAAGAGTTGCACTTTATTGTATATAAAGAAATATACTTTGAGGCTGGGGTTATAGCTCAGCGGTAGAGTACTTGCCTTGCACTTGTGAGGTACTAGGTTTGATTCTCAGCACCACATAAAAAATCAATAAATAAAATAAGTAAAGATATTGTGTCCACCTTTAAAAAAATTCTAAAAAAAAAATATATATATATACAATATATATAAACTTGGTTCTTTTAAGTGAATGGTGCAGATCGTTCGTAAATACCACAGAAAGAGGCTCAGGGTAGGTTGCTAAGGCAGAAAGCAGGTTGCGGAAGAGTGTGTATTGTGATCCCCTGCCTGTGGTTTTCACTGTATTTATGTGTTGTTGTGAGTAAGTGTATTTGTACATAGAAACGGCTTAGAAAGTTATTAACACATACGCAACTGAGGAAATCTCTGAAAAATAAAAATAAGATAAATGATAGAATGTTTCTTATTTATTTTATATAATTCTGTAAATTTAACATTATTTTAGTGGAGAACTGTTTGAAATTTTTTTAAGAAGACACTAATGTCAGCTAACATGTTTTCTCTCCTCAGTTGCATTGTCCCGCCCTGTCCTTACACGCAGAGCTCCCATGTCACAGCCTGTGGTGGGGGACGTGATGGAGCTTCACTGCGAGGCCCTGAGCGGCTTACTCCCAATCACATACACATTTTACCATGACGATATCACCCTGGGGAGAAGAGTGGCCTACTCTAGAGGAGGAGTGTCTTTCAGACTCTCTGTGACTGCAGAACATTCTGGAAACTACTTCTGTAAAGCCAGCAATAGTGCTCAGACCCAACACAGTGACACAATGACACTCACTGTCAGTAAGTTGACCTTTCCCACTAACAGCAGCAGAAGGAGCAGACCGTAGCCCACCAGACCATGTAGGCGAGACTGGAGCTCAGAAGCACCCCCTGGGGGCTGTCATGGCAGGCCTGCTGCCTGCACAGCCACATGGAGAGCAGGTGTGCCTGGATTCTACAGGTGGAGGAGCGTGTACCTTCCTTTCTCAGCTGTACCTTCCTTTCCCAGCTGCACCTTCCTTTCCCAGCTGGACTTTCCTTTCTCCAGCTGTTCTTTGATTTCTCCAGCTGTACCTTTCTATCTCTAGCTATACTTTCCTTTTTCCACCTGTACTTTCCATTCTCCACCTGTACTTCCCTTTCTCTAGCTGTACTTTCCTTACTCGAGCAGTTCTTTCCTTTTTCTAGTTGGAGAATTATTTCTGAAACTGTACTATACTTGCTATAGGTGTTCTTCCCTTTCTCCAGCTGTACTTTTCTTTCTCTAGCTGTACTTTTCTTTCTCCAGGTGTACTTTCCTTTCTCCAGCTGTACTTTCCTTTCTCTAGCTGTACTTTCCTTTCTCTAGCTGTACTTTCCTTTCTCCAGCTGTACTTTCCTTTCTCTAGCTGTACTTTCCTTTCTCCAGCTGTACTTTCCTTTCACTATCTTTACTCTCCTTTCTCTAGCTGTACTTTCCTTTCTCCAGCTGTACTTTTCTTTCTCCAGCTGTAATATCCTTTCTCCAGCTGTACTCTCCTTTCTCTAGCTGTACTTTCCTTGCTCTAGCTGTACTTTCCTTCTTTCTTTCTCTAGCTGTACTTTCTTTTCTATAGCTGTACTTTTCTTTCTCCAGCTGTACCTTCCTTTCTCCAGCTGTACTTTCTTTTCTATAGATGTACTTTTCTTTCTCCAGCTTTATTTTCCTTTCTCTATCTGTACTTTACTTTCTCCAGCTGTACTTTCCTTTCTCCAGCTGTATTGCCTTTCTCCAGCTGTACTTTCTTTTCTATAGCTGTACTTTACTTTCTCCAGCTGTACTTTCTTTTCTATAGCTGTACTTTACTTTCTCCAGCTGTATTTCCTTTCTCCAGCTGTACTTTCTTTTCTATAGCTGTACTCTCCTTTCTCTATCTGTACTTTCCTTTCTCCAGCTGTACTTTCCTTTCTCCAGCGGTTCTTTCCTTTCTCCAGCTACACTTTTATTACTCTAGCTGTACTTTTTATTACTAGGAGTGCTCTGAAGCCATTGTTATGAAAACGCACAAATTTCTCCCTAGCTTCTCCTGCACCTCTGTCAGAGCAACCTGGGTCCCATCCAGGACCCCTGCAAGGAAATTTTCCAACTTTCCTACTCTTGCTTTTTTACATGTCCCTTTCCATTCAGCAATATCACCAAGTCCCACTGTCATGAGCTGAGCATCTGGTCACATCTCACTGATCCACCTCCACCCATTGCTTCACCATGGATAATTTGAGAAAAGACTCAGCTACCAGGCTGTATCACAGAGATCACCAAAGACCTCCATGTATTTAGATCCCTTAACCATTTTCATCCCACCATCATTTTATGACTCTAATGACCACATGTCTATGTCCATGACCAACACCATGGCCTGTCCTTTTCCCACATCCATCATCCACTCCACATATACACAGGCCTCCAACCCTAAAAGACCATTTTAAGCACTTACTACTCACCATGACCTCCAGCCCTTCCAGCAACTTCTTCTGTCACTACTGTCCTCAGACCTCAACAGAACTCCCAGTTCAATCACTCTCCTAATCCCTCCCTAATCCACCTGCCAAGAACGCCCCCCCCTTGATTCCTACGATCAAGTTCAGTATTTGTCTATCTCTCCACCCAGTCAGTAACTATGCCCCCTTTCCCCCAGGTATGGAGCAGGGGATTCTTCTCC